GGCCCCTGACTCTAGGCCTTTATTATATTCCTGGAGAGACAGCATCCTAACTATATGGAATAGCCACCTGCTTGTTCATGAAAGCTGTGAAGCCACCGCACAAATTGAGAGGCAATATGTTATACTTAGTACCTCTCGTGAGATGCGAAACTATGAAATATGTTTGCAGTGGGTTCCTTTTTTTAAAAAAAAAATAAATTCATAGTAAAACATTACCACAGTGTTATTTCAGGCAGCAAAACACTGTAGAGTCTGAGCCTTTTTCCTGTTTTAGTGGACTGGACTGTTTTATTGCAGTGTCACCCACAGGGAGGTTTTATAGTGAGAGGAGAGAGTTGGTTAACTGACAGCTTTCCAGGTTGGCAGAGTCCATTTGTGAGTGCTGATCGTGATGTCAGCCCCCATGATCAACGCTGTCTTCTCTGTGTCCCTCTCCCTCATAGATTTGGGACATGACACCTGTGGTGGGCTGCAGTCTAGCAACTGGATTTTCTCCGCACTGATCCGGGAGCTGGTGATGTCTACACCCTACAAACAGTGGCCTCCACCCGATGAAACCCTTCCTGTGTTCCATGGCCCCTGTCATGTGAAGGACAGTAGCCACTTAAAACATTTTTCTAAAGGAAACAGTATAAAGCAACTCACCTATGGGAGCAAATATGGAAAAGGTCTGTGTCAGTTTCCTGATTTCATTGACACTCCCTTGCGAATGGTGAGCTCGTGGGCGAGGAGTCATCCAGCTGGTGAGAGCTTTAGAGGGGAAAAACTTGAACAAAAAGTTAATCTGGGAAACTCTCCTAATGCTGTCCTAAGCACAAACACAAGTCCCCTCAGACTGGTGGGTTTCCCGAGGGCCAGGAGGCTCCCTCTTGTCATAGCCAGAGTTGGAGGAAGGAGAAAGAGAAGAAAGCAGAGTCCGCCCTCCCTGCTGGCTGTGTGCAGGTGTGGCCTGCACTCCGCCATGCCCGCTGTCTTCTGCTAGTGTCGCGATCCGCACAGAGCAATTGGTCCATTTCAGTTACTTCCAGGAAGACCTTTCCATATGCCACAAGCAAGGCTTTGCAGTTGTCATGGTATCAGTTGTGAAACTTCTGTAACAGCCAAGTCAGTCCACATCTGTCCCTTCTTCCAAGTGTGCTCTGAGGTTGCTTTTCTATGGTGCTGTGAAGTCACCTGATGTGTTCCCACTGCAGCTGGGGAACCGGACGGAGGCCAGCTGCCAGCCTACGGGGACTGCGACCTGGATAGTCCATCCATGGAGCATATGGCCTTCCTGACACACACTTCTGTCTGTAGTCGCAAGATGCGCTCCTAAGTTGTGTGGCAATTTAATATCCTCAGAAAAGCACCCCAAAGCTTTTAAGTGACGCTGCCCTTCAGTAGGAATGGGTGTCAGTTACATTTCCCCTCAGGAAGCTGGCGGCCAGGGCTGTGCTCATCTGTCAGGTCTTGTACAGCGCCTTCTGACTTGTAAGTCACTTCATCACTACTAGTGGAAGTTGTTGTTTTATAGCTTTGAACCAGAGCAATAGGCTAAGGCAGAGGTTAAGGAATGGCAAGCCTGTTTTTTAATATAAAAATATATAGCTATGTTTGGTTGAACATTGGCACCGGGATCAGGTCCTTCGGGACTGTGGAAGCGAGAGTTAAAGACCCTACCTTTGTATAAAGGGCAAATACAAAAATAGACAGGAATAATATCTTTCTAATGTTTTACTAATGGATATTGATTCTTTAAAAAACTACTGCGTCATTGTGCTGGGATTATATTGAGACAACGTGATCATTCTGTATCATCAAACTAAGAATCTAAATCTAGTTTATAACCATTGCTTACAGGAATAGGAAAGTTTATGACAGGCAGTTCAACCAGGATGTCTCACTGGCCATGTGACACGAGTGGTAAGGACCCTGAGACACACTACTTTCTGGAAGGATCCACATAAGAGCTGATTGTCTTCTAAATGAAGCCGGAAGGCTTTTGTTGCTCCTTAGCTTTTTGTGTTATTTTACCTTGAAAAATTGTTTAGCAGGTCTTCACAAAATAACTATTACTTAACATAATTTGGAAGAAAAATTGAATGATGGTAACATTTAAACCATAATGTTTAATGTTCAGCTTCATATCTTAACTTCCACTGAGTTAATGGTTTGGTCCATACAGGTGCTATGCTGGGATGTGAATTCCTGAAAGGAAAGTAGAACATGACCCGGTTCAGCCCTGTGGAAGAGTGCTGAGCTGTGGTTATTTTCCTTCACTTCTGTGAAATGTGACTCTAATATGTGTGGTAGATAGAACAGAATATCGCAGCTGCTGGAGATAGTGCATAGCTTTTGGATATTTTTATTTTAAAATATTCTTGATGAAAAACTTTTCCATAGAAAATGTGAAAGTTGTTTCAGGCATTTTACAGAGTTCATGTAAGTCAAGGAAGAAATTAAGGCAGAATTGATACCAAGGTCCCTTAGAAAAGGAAAGGAGAATTTTTCGTTATAGATTGCTCTCCACCTAAACCTGTGATCACTTTTCTTTTCTGAAGTGTATGTGCTAAGCCTGTCTTGTTTCTGTCACATGTTAGACAGCAAGTGTAATATTTTTCTCAGAAATGAGCCAAAATTAGTTTCTCAGTGATACTGATGAGGCACACAAGGAAGGTACAGATA